CTCCATTCCTCTGCTAATTCCTACAACTTATTAAGCGTTATTAATATTATGCCTGTTCTTGTTATGCTTTGTTTCCTCTATTGGGACTGGGTTGGTGATTTTTTTTTCCAATGGGTTCCAACTGGGGCTCAGCTCTCGTCTCGTGGCTGCTTATTAATGAATGCTGTTATGTCTGGTCAGGGTCGGACCTCCACAATTTGTTGTTCCCTTTCTTATTTATTACATTTGCCGTCGAGGTCACTATTTGTACGACTGAGTATGGAGAAAGGGCCCGCCTCCTGTTCTGTTCTGTTCGAGTCCCATAAAAGCTAACTGCCCTAGGCATTAAGTGTGTTCTCATTTGGCCCCGGGTCTGAGCCTTAATTAATATGAATTAATTTTAGTGTTAATTGCAAGTGGTTGGGAATGCTTAGGGCTCTCAATGCATGCGAAAAACTTCAGTCTGGCCGTTCACTTACTCGTACACAAAATGAAAGTGCCTGCACTGGGAAAAGTTTCCATATTGATGTAATTATTATACGAAAATGTTTAAGTAGGATAAAGATTGCGGTTGGGATTGCGTGAACTGAAAGAAAATATACTTATAGCCAAAGCAAGTTCATGGATTCTTGTGGCTATATTTCCCAACATTTCTCTCATTTACTTAAGGCCCAAAAAAGAGAAATTTCCGTGCAACATCAATCACCCTCCATCACCAGCAACCATAAGGCAAGCTCGTTCGTTAAGTGCCGTAATTACCTTAGTTTGGAATGCGATTTGAACATTATTCACAAAAAAGCGATTCAAGCAATTTAGCTAATGACTTAACTAGATAATTTGTGAATTTTCTGTGCCACAAACCAGAAGAAAAATGTAGGGGCATATGTACATATTCTCGCAGTGTATTAATACAATTTTCCAAACAATGCTTATCAGTGGAAGGATCTGTACTTGTTCTCGGAGAGAAAAGGAGGAAGTCTGAGGGTGGGAAAGATTATCAACAGCCATTATGGGCTTCGTTCTGGTTGTTTGCAGTAATTAATATTAAGTATACGCCACGTTTGACAGCTTTCGCTTGCTATCTGGCTAAAGAGCACTGAAAACATCACGTAGATAAATAGAGCCACTAAGACCCGATGTCAAAGAGCAGCTAAATCAAATTTCTCCCACAGTTTTTTTCTTTAGGCTGCTGCTGGTGCTTCTTCTTGTTTTGTGGCCAACAAGGTGGACGAGAGTAAATAATAAATAAATATTTGGAAAGCGTTTCGCTAACAGGACACGTCCAGGGAATTAACAATATGGCAGAGGGGTGTGTGTGTGAGGTGTGGTTTTCCGCCAGACTGAAGGCAGCTGCTTTTTGGCCAAGACGTGCCCAAGTCCTCTTTTGGCTAAAACGAAAGCTCAGCCGCGGCCAAAACTTTGGCCGACCATTAAAGTTTAAAGATGAAGGCGACAGCTTGCAAAACCGCAGAGGATTTGACCCCACGGAGGTTACACACAGCCCCCCAACTGCCTCTACATCCTAACGAAATGGTTCCATTCTTCATTCCTGTCTCTTGGCTGAATAACCACATTGGAGGGGTTGGAGTTGGGGTTGGGATTGGGCTTGGGTTTGGCATTGGAGGCATGAGCTGAAGCCCGCATAGATTTACAATCAGCTGCTGCTGCTGCTTGGGCTTTGCCTCACTGGGCATTATGCCACAAATCATAAAAACGCATCACACACACACACACACACACACACACACACACACACACACAAAACATACAGAGGGAAGCATATGCTCATACATATGTACGGATATACATACATACGGACATAGTATACTCGTGTTAGTTCATCAGGCGGCCTCCTGTGGCCATGTGGCCTGCGTATACGTGATATTTTATGGGTCACTCGCTTCGCCATCGACCCAAAAGCCCCGTAGAAGTCCTGCGACTCGCTTTCCTCTGAGGCCGTAAAAGACTTATCTATTCTCTCCACCCTGGGAATGTCATGTAAGCCGTGTAAGTGTAATTCCAGCTTCAACTGTATCTCATTGCATTTGGTTTACAGATAATCAGAGCGCGTAGATGACGCATCTTTTGATTAACCACTTAAGGGGCGGGCAGCCACTTAAGAGGCAAGCGAATATAGGTCCTAAAAGTTTAAGCAACAAGTGGAAAAGTGGAGGGAAACGCTGGCCTGAAAAGCATATAATGAGGCACTCAGTGGAGACTTTTTATAGATACATATGTACATACATATACATATTTTACAGAAGAAGAAAGAAATGTGATTCGATACAAAAGTGGGCTAAATTTTAATAAATTAATTTCATACGCATGCCAAATCTTTGAATATTCATTTAATTCGACTATTTTATATGCAATGCTTAGTAAAAAAAACTAAACTTTCATCCCGTAATAAAAAGCCGAATCAAGAAAGTTTTGCATTCCTTAATTTCATATTCATCTCTCTGCATCAGCAGTCGAGGTCCCAGGACTTGCATTGAAAAGTGAAATAAAATTGCATGGAGCACCGATTCAATTACCAAAAATTGCAAACGTTTTCACACATCGTTAAATGCCCAAATGCATTCAAAATAATTTTTCAAAATGAAGGCAGCAACAAATTGTAGGGAAATTCATTCATTCCCAGGCGTCTCACAATAAAAACTTTCCCCCAGCTGACCCAAAAAAATTGCATAAAAAAGCAACCACCCAAACATAAGCAAATTCATGTGTGAGGAGCGTACAAGTGTCCAACAGATTTTCCACAGATTATTGCATCTGGAAAGGCATGTGCAAAAAGGAGACTTATCTCATGATGAATACGAGTATACGAGTGCGAGCATGATATACTTAAATTTAAAGGCTTTGCATTCAACAGAAAACATTCAATTAAATATTACGTAGCGGTTTTTTGCCCCACGTCTGCAGAATGTTCTCTGCTGAAAAGAACACGAGCTGAAAGCCAAACATTACACGAAAATTGTGTGTTAAAATTAAAAAAAGAAAAGAGGAGCGAGCGAGCGAGGACTTGATGTTGGAAATAAATTGAGCAAAATGGTGGCAGCTACTTAAGTGAAAATATTTTTGCGCTTGTAATAACTTGGCTGCTCTAACCACAGCCAGACCATACCCGGCCAGGCCAGGACAGCCCTGAGCCTGGGCGAAGGAGTGGCAAAAAGAGCAACACGAAGGGACTTAAGTGCTGTGGCTTTGGCCTAGAGATGGGAAATGGCAGCTCTTAAATTCGTGTAGCTTTTAACACCTCAAAGGAATTGATATAGTTCGGAATATTCGTTTTGTGAAACCAATTGCAAGATAAAACAGGGCAAAAGATACTTCGCCAAGATTGATGCAGAGAAAAGAGTCAGTCTTTGGATTCTCAGAACACTCACTACTTAATACAACCTGCGGCTCACGAGAATTTTAAATTTGGCAGACATTATGAGTATAAATACGTACTTCTCCGCCCGTGAGTACTATCCTGTAACGCTCTCATCACCAAATCAGGCCTCTTTGGATTTTGTGCTGCATTCATACGTTTTCGATTAAGCTCGTTCTTGGTCTACTTTGCCCGAAAAGAGAAGGAAGCGGAAATTTACACAAAGAAAGGATGTAGCACACGACCGCCTGTAAGACGGAATCGCAGCTGTAGTTGCAGAGCCCCAAAAGCGAACCAAGTGGGCTAAAATTGTAGCACGACTATGACTGACAGGCCATTAATTTTGGATTACCCAGTCAGGCACTACTCTGCGGCCAGGAGCCGTCGACAGGAGGCTCCACGATGGACGGAAAAATTGCACAAACTTGCAGCAGGCACTTGGACGAGGCTGTTAAACATTTCATAATACCTCGACACACTTTTTGGGTTGGTGGTCGTTAGCGTTAATGACAACATAAGTGGTCATGTATAATTTCTGAAAATTATTGCCCACCTATGCAACAAAATGCCAACAAAGAAGACAATTGTTCGGTGCAGAAAAGAAGTTTGAAAAGGTTGAAGGAGAATGTCGGGAGAACTTTCAACTATTCTGATACATACTTTGCTTACACAATTGATAGTACGTTGAGCTGTTGCTTATAGAGTAAGAGTATATCTAAACTTCACTTTCTAAGTCACCCAAACTTCATATTTGAGTCATCTACTTAGAGTAATTAATTGCACAACCCAGTTTTTGAATCAATGACCTTTGAGCGGATAGTCTCAAAATTATATCAGTGTAGATGTCGCAACAAAGGCTTTAGGAAATCCAATTACCTAATAAGCCTTCTAACGGCTGGCAAGCCAAGCGACCTAAAGTTTTCATGTCGGAGCAATAAAACTGTCGACTGGAACACTTTCCCTCTGTCAACGGGCGGGCGAGTTCCTCCAACCCCTTGAACCCCCCAGTAGAGATTTCAGAAAGATGCTTACTCCTGCTCCACCACCTTTTCCCTCTGAATGAATTCAATTAAAGTAATTCAACTGATCTAATTTGGGCACCTTTGGATGGCTGGCAAATAAATTTGCGTCTAATTAAGTAATGAATGCTCCAGAAGCAGGAAGTACGAGTATTAGCGTGGAGTTTGTGTATTCAAATGCCAAAGTTTCTTGTAAGTTGTGTCTGATTCACCCCCACGCCCCAAATACTTAAGTTCAGCAAGAAGTAAATCATGCTCCACTGCTTGGATACATACGAGTATGTACATACATATGTATATGTAATATGCTTAAGTAGGTATGCACACACACATGTGCATCATGTGTCTGGAAGCATGCGTCAAGCAGTGTATGTACAAATCTCGAGGCATAAATCACAATTTCTTAGCCATTAAGACAAGACCGCAGAGATTTGCGGCTCTTCTCAACTCGATGATGAAGCGTCTTCATCTTGGCCACAGTTCCGAGTCCTGACACCAGCTGCGACTGTGGCTGCCGGGAGAGTCGGCAGGACTGCAAATGTAAAACTTGACACTGAGCCAAAAATACAAAATAAATAAAAAACAAAAATTGAGTCTTTAAGGAAGTTGAGCATGAATCAGGGAAGAAGTCTGGAGAATATTTGCTTTGTTTATTACAGATTTAAATATACATTTTCCTAGAAATTTTACGACTTTTGAGACAAAAATATAAACGAAATCGAAAAGTATACAAAGGCTCTGGCCAATTACGATTACGCCACATCTCCACAGAATGAGTTCAGGGAGAAAAGTTGCTTAGAACCCACAGAGAACTGCACTTTGGCCATATTTGATACCAGCTTCGATGTTTTGATTTAGGATAGGAATCAGGCACTTCAAAGCTGCTCTCTCAAGATCATCCAGGCATGGAATTGCGAGATACTCCTGGACACCATGTGGCCCTAAAATGACTGGCGAGGCAAAGAACTTCGCCTCTGAGACATCCGATTCGCAAAAGGTGCACTCGACGATACATCCGTCACCCTCGTTCTTGATGCCCCTGATAAGGGAGTCCACGAAGCGAGCCCCAGCAAAGGCCATCGATAAGGTGGCCGAGCCAAGTCCGGCCTTGGCCTTGACCACCTCTGTGCCGGCTTCCTGGATGCGATGGAACAGAGACAGTCGTTCAGCTTCATCACCGTCAAAAGGGGGATCGCACTGCGAGAGAACCGGAAGAATTGTGAGGCCAGCGTGTCCGCCTATTACCGGAATGGTGACCTCTTCCGGCTGCACCCCGATGCTCTTTCCAAGGAAGGTCTTGGAGCGGACTACATCGAGAGTGGTGACCCCGAAGAGACGCCTGGGGTCGTAAACCCCCTTGGACTTAAGGATCTCCGCAACAATTGGAACAATTGTGTTTATCGGGTTCGTTATGAAGGCCAACAGAGCACCAGGACAAGCCGCGCTCACGGCATTGGCCACGTCCACCGCAATGCTGGCGTTCTCATCGAGCAGATCGGCTCGGCTCATTCCTGGCTTGCGAGGCATGCCCGCTGGCACCACCACAATGTCCGATCCTTTCAGGGCCAGGGCCAGTTTCTTCGGGCCCTTAAAAGGCTGCACCACCGCCGATGTGTCGATGTGCGAGAGATCCGCTGCAACGCCCTTGATATTTTTCCGATCGTGCAGGGCGAGGGTTTCTATGTGGGGATGGTGTTTGAGCAACATCGACAGGGGTTGTCCTATGCCACCAGCCGCCCCCACAACAGCGACCTTGAGAGTTCTTTGGCTTCCATTGCTTATAGCTGCATCCGTTCTCTTCCTTTGGTACTGATTCAGTGTCTGGGAGAGTTGTGTGCCACATCGCAGGGCGAACATAGCCAAATAGTTACGTTAAAATTTTGGTACTAGCTACAATTTAAATCCAAGATTAAACAACTGATAACAAATCATTTCTGATCAGAGCCTACTGATTTGTTGAGAAGATCTTTTGGGATATGCAAAATGTGAATGATCATTACTAGGACTACGAAACCACATATTTATGTATACTTCTATCCGTACCCTTGGATGGATATTTCATACAAATCAATTGGATTAAGATTTGGTAGTTTTAGTCGATTTAAAAGGTATACAGGAGTAGGTACTCGGTCGCTCCCTTATTTCACCAGAGGTGTCGCTTCGATATTCTCCATATCGATACCCTTGGCTTGGTGTTGCTATTGGTATCTCTCACGCATGTCTCGATAGATTGAGACATTACAACTCGCTCTTAAATATTAGTTAAATATATTTCTCATATTATTACTTTTTATTATATGGCTTACTATATTGGTACATGTTTATTATACTTATTATATTGCTACAAAGGCACTTAGACATTCGCAAAGTAAGGTTTATTTACTCCTGTACTGTTAAGCGCAAAATTTACTGCTGTTATCCCCACGCGTTATTGCCAGCTCATACAAAAAGACCTCTGTTCTGTTTAACAGAGATCTATCGATTTATGTTTGTTGCCCTGACCAAATTTTTGCGATCCATTTTTGAATTGGTTTAAATAAAAAAGTTATTTATAAAAAAAGGGCACAAGCTCAATTGCACTGGCAATGGTGTCAATTCCATGTCAATGCGTCAATCAGTCATCTATTTTTCCATTTTGCAATTAAGATTCGTTTTGTTGTATTAAAAGCCGTTTACTTTTCACTTCTGCGAGAAATATGTTGACGTTTTGAAAACTGAAAAATATTGCGCTTTACGAATGCGAGAGCACCTAACTTTCTGTTTTTCAAAGTAAATCCGGAAACCCGGAGCCTGCCTTTATACAGGCATTATTTAATTCTGAAATATCCTGCTAAAAGAGTATAGAGAAGGCTTTTTTACAGTAATACAAATTATATTTTTTATTTCCATCCAGACCTGATCATCGTAAATACTTAATTTTGAAATGTTGCTTAAGAAATTCAAGGCAAAGATAGTCCCCTCCAGCTTTCCCTGGTGCGTGATGGTACGTACCGTCTTCAAGGTCGCGATTGTGGGTGCTGGCGGCGGGATTGGACAGCCACTGTCGCTGCTCCTGCGCCAGGTCGAGGGTATCGACGAGCTTGCCCTGCACGATCTGCGTGGAACGAAAGGAATCGCGGCCGATACCGGACATATATCCGAACATGGAACGGTAAGTGGCTACGTGGGCAAGGAAGAGCTGGAGCCGGCATTGCTGGGCGCCAATTTAGTGGTGGTAACCGCGGGAATGCCCCGCGTCCCGGGCATGACGCGGGACCATCTGATGCAGGCCAATGGTGGCATTGCCATCCATGTGACCAAAGCTATTGCCTGCGCCTGTCCCGAGGCACTGATCGCTATCTCCACGAACCCCATCAACATTGTTGTCCCGACTGCCGCTGAGGTTCTCAAGGAAGCTGGGGTCTTCAATCCAAACCACCTGTTCGGGATCACCACCTTGGATGTGGTGCGCTCCAAGAAGTTCATTGGCGACCACATGAACATCAATCCGCTGAAGGTGAATATCCCGGTGATCGGAGGGCACACCGGACCCACCATCCTGCCGCTCTTCTCCCAGTGCCAGCCCGCGTTCAGGGGCGACAACGAAGACATCGAGAGACTCACGCATCGCATCAAGGAAGCCGGCACTGAAGTGGTTTTGGCCAAGGGCGGCGCTGGTTCGGCCACTCTTTCCATGGCCTATGCCACTTGCTGTTTCGTGCAGTCCCTGATTCGGGCCCAAAACGGACAGGAGGCCATCATTGAGTGCTCCTTTGTCGCATCCGATGTGGCAGACGCCCCCTTCTTCGCCGGTCCCGTGGAGCTGGGGAAGGAAGGCATCAAGCGCTGTTTAAAAATCCCTCAACTGAATGAATTCGAACAGAAGTCCCTGGACAAACTGCTCCCCATCCTGAGGAAAAACATCGAGGACGGCGTCAACTTTGCCAAAACATTTACGAAATAATAAGCCCAATATAAAAAATATATTAAGTGGTATACTCTTTAACTCCATTTTTGGCTTGGGGCTAAGCCTGTAAAACTAAGAGCAGGGAGAAATGCAGGAGCGGGGCATCAAAAAAACCATTCTTACGATGCCAAATAAAAATTCTTGGCTCTCTTGGCGTGAAAAACTACACAACACAACATTTCAGACTAATACAGGGCATAGAAAATAAATGAAATATGTACATACATATGCGTGTAGCGTGTGTCGGGAATTGCAGCCAGACAAATGATTGGGAAGCTTCACTTTGTTCAGATATTTTTGTATTGTTTGCTGGGAAGCACTTTAAGCATTTCCCTTTGGTTTCACTTTTGTCCAAAATGGCCGCAAATAAATTCCGGACTAACATTCTTCTGCCCAGCAGTAAATTACATTTGCACTGAGACGCTCTCAGGTCTGAAACTGGTAACAAATTGCTTGGCCCCTCTGAGCCTCAAGCCTCAAGGAAAACCGAAAGTAGGCAGCAATTTTCTTCACTTTATTTCACACTTTTCCCGACACACACCTCCCAAAAAGCACAAAAAAAAAACAGAAACGAACAACACATAAGGTGTGTCCATTTTATCTTGTTCCAAACCAAATAAAAAAGAAAGTGGGTGGCAAAACTTTCCTGCGACCCAGTTTCACTTTCACCAAGAGTTCACCTGTCCAAGTTCCAGTGAGTGGGAGTGTGTGTATCTGTGTGAGTAATTCAACTATTGCGGCTGCATTTGTTTCTGCCACCCAGCCTGACAACAAGATAAATTAAGGCAGAGCATTTCAGACAACAAGCTGGCCACACGGCCACCCACACTCACTCGCACAACCCGAAGCCAAAAAATGTGTTTCCAAAACAGAAGTTAGCAACAAATGAGTCTGGCTGGTTCATTTTTCAAAAGCAAATTAAAATTAAATGAAAGACCATTTTTGTATAGGTGTTTAAATAAATATAATGAATAATTTTTTGTGTATCGTTTCGAGTGTGTAAATAGAGAAATATCACTAAAACACCCCTAAGGAAAAACTGATATATAGAAAATGAAGATTTTTCATTTATTATATAGACTATTTTCGAGGTTATTTAAATACCATTTACTGGCTCGTTTTTTGAACAAATAAATATCCGCATAGTATCTAAGTATTTCTTCCATCCCTATCTGTAGGATAACCCCCATAAAGGGTATATACTTCGCCCATTCCTTCCCATTTGGAGATACTCATAAATCGTTGTTCTTGGGGCTCCGAGAAAATTTCTGGCATTTTCAGCCGTATATTTCATATGCAACTCTCTACGTTTATGGGTTAACTAATTGCAGGCAAAAATTCTATAAACATTAGGCAGCCATTTTTGACCAAAACTATTTTCCCCCAAGTTTTCTATATGCACTGCACGAACAACTTTTTTGTGGGTCATGCCGAGTGTTTACCTGAGCATCGAAAACTTTATTTATTAGCCAAAGTCTTCTGGACTTGAGTCCAGTTTTGGCTGTTGATCTTTTCAGGCTTATTAAAAAAGTTTTTTGACCCAAGTAGTAAATCATAATAAGTGTAAATATAGCGAACCAATTTCTGGTGATTGCTCTTCTGTTGCTTTTTGGGTGAGAGATATGTGTGTTGAAAATATCAAAATTTAACGAGGTATCAGTGTGAGTTATAGGTAAATACTCTTGTAAAAATGGGAATAGACCATGGGAGTAACGATTATACCGAAAAAATGTTTCCGAGCCCCTAAACTAGCCATTATATTTTGTTTAAACGTATGCTCAACTTTTAAGATTTAAACAGAAAAACCCTTGTGCCACTCGTAGAAACGAATCGGAGCAGACGGATTTCTCGCTTATCAAAACAAATAAATTTTCCCAGCTTAATGCATTCATCTATCTTAATTTAGCAGTTTAGAATGGCGAGGGGAAATGGCAATGGAGCAATAATTGTGCACACTATTTTCATAGATCCTTGTCAAAATGGGACAGCGGTAGGGACGGGAACCGGAAGTCCGAGCAGCTGTGCTAAAGCTGGCCAGAACGTTTAATTTCCATTGAGTTGCACATAAATTTCCCAACGGACTGTAATTTTTGCCAAACCTTTTCTCGGGCGTAAACAAGCAACCAAAAGTTGCAGCTGGAAATTCGCCTTCGATGCGAATTTATGGCCATGGCCCTTCACCTTTGCACCCAGTTTTTTTGTAGGGTAATTTATTTCGACTGCGGACAAAACAAACACGTTAATTCCACAAATTAGCAGCATGTGTTGTTCCCTCTTACCGGGGCTTAATTAGCTAAAAAGGCCCGGCCAGTGGATCGATACGTCCAACAGCTGGGAGCTGAATCGAGGAGGGGCTCGTAACTTTACTTTACTTTTGCACTTGTCAGCGCTGGACAAAGGAGATGAATGTGGAAAGGATTCGCTTTTGCCAAGTACGGGACTAGACTAGACTCGACTCGACTCGATGTAGTGGCCCTTGGCTGTCGGCGCTCCATAAATTCCTGGCAAATCGTGCTGGATGCCAAAACTATTACTCACACTCCTCCATCAGCAGCACCGAAGGATAATTCAAATTGTCCATTACGCGCAGCTGCCTCACGATTTGAGTCGTTGAAAATTGGCCGACTCGAGTTGTGCCGGCTGCCAAGTTTTCAAGCTTTGTTTGTCTTATCCATACCCTCTGAATATGGTCTGTAAATTAAGCTTTCAAAATGAAATATCAACTAAATTTAAGTCAATCTAACCGAAGCTCGATCAATTAGCCATCGCAATTCGGTGAGACATTTTCTATGGAATTTTGTGGCTAATTGCGAATCAACAGAAGCTCGATTGAAAGAAACGAATGCTCGGCCAATCAATAAAAACAATTGAAAAGCAATCAGAGTTTAATTACCGCAACAAAACGTTGACGTGACGACGACCGAGATGGAGACGGAGACAGAAAACAGTAAACTGAAAATCCCGCACAAGGAGCAGAGTCCCCAAACCATAAATCAATAGCGAGAGCCAACAAAACTCCCGAGAGACCGAGCAGCGATTGGTATGGCAAGTGCATACACAGACAGGGAACATATGAGGCGCAACCAAGTAGACCACAAAATAACAGCAACGCAACAATAAAAGCTCGCATTACATAAAAGTACGAGGGCATGCTCATAAACAAAGAAGCAAACTGCCGGCAAGTACAATACACAGAATACTTACAGGCATACTCGTACATAAAAATGTCTCCCCGCTGGTACTTCCGCCGGAAATGGAGTGTAGAACGAGACGAGAGTATAGATAGACGGCACATAAAAGCCAGATAGCCAGATAGCCAGCTCGGAGGCATCAGCATTACGAGCTTGACACAAATATCGACAAAATAAATAAACAAATGCTTTGTGGCCTACCATTTGGAGGCTCCCATGGAAATATAAATATTGGACAGACCACAGCCATAGCGTTAGAAATTAGAAATCAATTTAATCCACTTTATCCCAACGCGTCTTGTGCAGTAATTCTTACTTGAAAATTAAATATTATTTCGCTGGACAAGGTTTCGAGCCAAAGCAGAGCCAGTGCCTGCTTCCAGGATCCAATGCAAAATCGCTCAATTAGGCCTTGGAGCAAGTCAGTGTTTATATCGAATAGGATGCAGTTGGAGGTCTGCATTAGGTATCCGGACTTTGCCTTCCGTTGTGTTGGCATGGCACCCCGTTTCAAATGGCCCGCCTGCCCAAGCATACGGCGACAGATCAGGCAGACAGATCATATGTGTGGTGGGAGTAAGACCGTCTACTGGGCCATGTTTGATAGTCAATCAAAGGAAATAGTTATGTACGCGGCAAAGATCGCAGAGATGGGCAGTGTGCTGGGGCTCACCTTAGCGGGGATCCTAAACATTTGGGCGCTGACGTACAAGAGACCCAAGATCATGGCGGTGCTGGCTGAGCTGCAGGAGCTCTAGCCCTTTTCCACCCTGGAGGTAGAGCTACTGGCGTATTTTTTTTTTTAATGGTATTCCCGATAGGTACGAAGTCAAGTCATGAAGTCAGAGGGTTCGCCCACATACATTAGCTTCTGCCGCCATATTTCAGATACGTTTTTTATCACTCACCGCCAATGAGTTCATTGTGAGCACTTCTGGGCTGCGTGACTGTGTAATGTCGCGTATTCAATATATATTAAAACTACTTGAATAACTTGCAGTTATTGTGGTTTGCTTTCTTCTGGCAATTTACATACTAGGGTTCATTAGGAACCCGAAACACTTAGGCCGGTTACGGCTCGTTGTGTTACCGCATGGATCATGTCCCCTTCCATTGTGAGAGACTACTATGTCAGCAATTATCCCATCCAGATGCCCTTATGAAGTTTGCGATTCTTCTGGGACTCATTGTAGACATATCCGAAATGTCATTTGTGAAAGGTAGAGTAGGGGCATAAAACGACCGGAGGTAGCGCAGAAACTGAAAATATAGAGAAGAACTAACCAATATTCACAAAGAGAGATTATTCTTGCCTTGAGAGGAAAGGGGATCAGGAAAGGATAGGGGAGGGGACGTTGGAGGCGGCCAGGGCCTCACTCCAGGTCTACCATCGGTGCCTGGTTGAGTGCCCGCACGAAAGCCGCTGAAATGTTGAGAGCTTCTCCACGCAGAAGCAGCACCGGCGACACACGAACCGATTTGACGTCACCCTACATTGCCGCGTGTGAGCTTCTTTTATCTCTGCGCTAAAATTGCCATATATGTTTATGTCGCAATATATGCACATCGAACTAAACTATTGGCGGCAGATGAATGTTCGCCATCTCCATTACCATGGAGCTGCATGCTGGCGGCACTGGCTTCAATCCCACCACTGCCCAGATCCTGCATCAAGGCCATGGCCCAAAAGGTTGTCGGAAAGAACTAAGCAAGTGTTATTTAAAATGCCCCCCGATAATCCCGAATCCCACTACTCACTCTCTTTTGGGTCTCATTATGTAATGTATGTAGTAGATAAGTAAATAAGTAAAACGAGTAACCCTAGGGTTTCTCGTGCCACCCTAACATTAATCCAACTTTTGTACTCAGGGAGCTGATGCAGCTGAGGCAGCATATGTCGCTGTAGTGGGCTGCGACCTGATTCCATTTGCCACCAGCGATCGCCTGATTCTGGCGCTGATCACAACAGCGTGGTCAGCATTTTGCGATTCTGTTCCTCTGTCGCTCTAGTTCAGTAAATACATATTGCAGATGCCCAGATCCCAAGTTGCGAACCATGCCAATGGTGTCGTCGATGGCCGTGTGCTCTATGGGCTTTTCCATGATCATGTTCGACTTGGGTCTGGCTCTCAGGTACATGGTTGGAATGTTTGGAATATGCCACAATGGCACTCAGGTCGCAATGGCGGTAAGTGAAGTCAGAAGAGAGAACTCCTCATCATAACAAAAATATTTAAAACTGGACAGTCTATCAAGTCCTGAATTTTCCGTTTTCAAATACCCATCTTTTGTTCAATATGTGTGAATGATTTGTCTTCCTCGGCCTTTTTAGAGCGACAAAGTAATGCCAGCTGCTTTCTGTAACAACTGGTATGAAGGCGGCCTCGCCTACAGGGTTTTGCTCTTTTTAGTGATGCGATCTACTAAGCCCTACATCTTGAGAACATATAAGCTGGCACCTGTGTCCATATAAACCTACATGTCTGTAAGTACTTCAATGTGATATTTTGAATACTTTTCAACACATATTTACCATTTAATAGACCTTAAAATTTTCATATCATATGTTTACCTGCGTGCGGTCTTTGAAATAGAAAATTACTTATCATTTTTATATACTAATACTGCTATACTATGATACGTAGGTACATGTAGGAATTTTTTCTAATTTTAGAATTTAAGAATTTCGAATTTCCCGGAGTACTCGGAGCAGTTTTCTATTTTAAACAAAAGAGTTGACCCAAAAAATTTCTCACTCATGAAAACTAATCCAAACAATGAAAGCCCTAGCGAAAATGAAAGAAAGCAATTTGAGACAGCATGAAAGACTAAAAATGTTGGGTACCTAGAGGTAGATGTATGCAGATACGAAAGGAAGCCAACAGAGTGCCCGCTTCAATGCCTTTTGTGGGTAGCTAAGCAAACTTATTAAGGCCTGGGACTCACAGGTCGGGGATGAGGGTGGCTAACAGGCGAGGGCGTTCTTCTTTCCATCCAACTTTTCATTTTGAAAATGCAAAAGCGTAAAATTAAGTTCTTTACAAAAATTGGTGGAATTATGTACAAGTCACCTGCCGGTCCTGCCCTGTCTTGCTTGTCCTGACTGTCCATTCCCCACTTGCTTCCTTCCATCCATCCGTCCGTCGTCTCATATGCTCGGGCTGAGTGGCTGTGATGGGTGTGATTATCACATCGTTATCCAGGATCAGTGGCAACAGCGTTGCCATCGTGTTTTCCCACTTACTCCCACCTGAACTCCACCTCTCCGCCTCTCTGGATTTTCTTCCTTACAGTTCTCCCTCGTCATCTGAAACGGACCCTTGTCCTTGTTTTATATAATAACATTTTAATTCCCTTAATCCACGCTACGCTGGCCGCAAAGCCAAACAGAAGGAATGCCAGCCCTGGCGTCGTTACTTCCTTGTTTGTTTTTTTTTTCTCAAAAAATTGCCAACAGTTTCTTTAGGCTCCTTATTGTAGGACCGCAGCTTCGTTTTATTATTTTAGTTAGTTCCTTTGTGCGTGCACATCATTAATCATGAGCATAGCATATTTATTGTTTTGTTTCCGATGACAGCTTTGTGCTGGCCTTGGATTGAGCTCGTTCGTCGGGAATGCTGCAGTAGGATTTAATATTTAAAATGAGTAGAAGGAAATTGATGGCTTAAAACAGGTGACCTCAGATGAAATTTCATGTCACTGAATATCTGGGATAAATATAATCAGGGTTTCATAGCTGACCAACTCAAAAACTTGAACAGCGCACAAAAGGATGTTTGGCAGTTAATTGAGTCATCAGCCTAGACAACAGCCATGGTGTCTATGGGAGAAAGAGATTGTGAATTGCCCAATCATGTGGAAGCAACTGGCGAGACCTTAAAAGTCTCTGCCCCACACACACATCCCCACTCAAGTACTGGGGCACTCCGACAATAGGCCACATAGGGCCGGAGCTAGGAAGTAGAGAAATCTAGCCAGAGCAGAACCCACACAAAATCGACAGTTTGTGTAAAAATTGACTTTGTCAGGCGGCGCGTCGGGGGGAGAACTGGGAACTGCAAGGATCATCATTGCAGCCATTTGCCTGTTGTTTACCCAGGGCCCAGAATTCAGCCTCGTCCTGACCATAGCCTTGATAAGTTTTTAGCAAACAAAGGAACCTCGTTACAGTTACATGGGTTTTGGGAATCGCCCTCCGAGGGAGTGTGTGTGAGAGCTGACCCAACCGAACGAAGCTGCGATGTGCATTTAAAATTGCATACACAAAACACGAAAGTCCACAGAGCTGAATTGCTGGAGCAAGACCACAAAATGTACTCAAACAACATGTCTCAATTTCGTAGTTAAACTTTGTCTCACTCTCGTTCTGGGGGAGGCTCTGACTGGGTGCAGTTGTAGTCTTGGCAGAGCTACCCAAAATGGTAATTGAATATGTTATGGGGGGGTGGGTGGGGGGGGGGGAGAGAAGGTTGATGTATCTTGTGATGTAGAAGACTGTAGCTCATAATTGGCTTTGGCTTGGAGTCGTTTAAAAGTAATGTACTACCAGACTTACTCATCGTATCTTGGGTTTCTGGTAGACACAGATTATTATTTTACGGTATTCTGGGCGTCAATAAATATTTCATTTTTCTTAATTTCTGTATCTTCACTCAAGAGAGTTTAATAAATTTAAAGGTATCTTTAACATAAAGCTATTTATTTATAAAATCTCATTCAAGGAGCTCTTGTCCGTCCCGCTATGTCCATCAATTACTTAGCCTTATCGGCCGGGGCCATATGGTGTCACCCAAAGACACTGAAAAAAAGAGAATAATAATAATGGGAAGGCGACATTTTTACACACAATTTAGACACATTTCCGCTCATAGCTGGCACTGCCCGGCCAGAGCTCCATGTGCGCCATGACGTGGCGCTGCAAAACAAAAGCATAAAAATGTACAAAAGCGGAAAGAGGAGGGGAACGGAGGCGCAAAAACCGTCACTGCGGAAAACGTCATGAAATGCGATTTGCTGAAAATATGTTGGTAAGGCTCGAAAAATGGGGGAAAACAATTATGAACATGAAGGTCTTTTTCGTTTGCGAAGAGGGGTTCCGTTCCTCTTATTATATACAAAATATCATTAAAATTAGACAAAGACTGTTCAGAGTGAAGACGGCGCTGGCGGGGCAACCGCTCTGTGGGCATTCCAGCCCCACATCGCTGTTAGCATTCCAGCTACACAAGCGGTCGCCCTCGCTCTCGTTCTCGCCCTCGTGCTTAAGAGCATTTTTCCCCCCGGCGACTCGCTCTCGCGCGCATACTCACCACGCTTGCGCTCCCACCCACGCTCACGCTCCCGCTCTCGCCGCCGACAGCCCTCGGCAGCAAGAGCGCCACCGATCTACAATTAATTCGCTTTTCCACCCAAAGCAAAACGGCCGGCTTTTGCACGCGATACACATATAAATATATATATACGAATAAAACCCCTACGAATAAACTGTGAAGAAATTGGAACTAGCTGCCTCTTGTATTTATCTTGGAATTCAACTGTGGGACTTCACGACGCCTCTACGCTCAAACATTGGTCCTTCGAGCCGGATACTCCCCGTCGCCTTCCCTATAAGGAATCCAGCCTTCGAGCATTGGCGCTTCGACATTACCACCACAGGATCCCAAGGTAAGTACGATTTTCGCGTGCCACAAATCCCTTCCATTCGCGATTTGTGTTCCAAAATTCCAAAAAGTCCGAGTTCCGCGGTATAAGTACATACATATATATATTCTTATATATGTTCTTATTTCTTCATTCTGTGCCATCCGTTATCCGTGTCTCTTCTTTTTTCGACACCGCCATATTATCGGCGATTCCTGCCGTTCTCCGTTCCTTCAACCTTATCTACCAGTGCTACGGTAGTTTTCAATTCCGTTTTGTCTGTGCATTAATTGTGACAATAGTTTAAAAAGAAAAATATTCAGCAAGTGCATTCCAGCTCACAACAACAACTCCCCAGCTGATCTCCAAATATTCAAGTCCAAAACATATGTACATCCGTACATACACACACATCTACATCCGTGTCTCTCCAAGTGCATTCCATGCACGACCCATAAAAATATACACTGGCACATTCCGAGTGCAACTCCAATTAAAATTAAGTGTTTTATTTCCATACCTATAACCACACATATATTTACTTCCATACATTCATTGGGCTGTCTATATATTACGTAATCACGTTTTCGATGATTTTTGACCCCCCCCCTGATAAAAGTAATCATTCAAGGCCCCCCCCCCCATGATTACGTAATCACAAGAAAAAAAATATATATAAACGAGAAGGAACGTGTGAGTCGTTTCAGCGGACACGACTCTACTTATACCCGTACTCAGTCAGTATATACATTTTTGAGCTTATGATTTTAAAGAATTAAAAAAAAAAAAAAAATTTTACATTTTACATTTTTTTGCTACATCTGATATCTACATCTACATATACAATGTCTATTCTACATCTAACATGTAGATTGTACGTGTACCATTTAGATTCTACATCTCCTCCGCTAGGGGTTGCTCGCGCACTGAACGCGGCAGAGTGTGCGAGCGAGAAGGAAAATGAGTTGCGTTGTTGTTTGTCGGACGGCGGGCAGGGGAGCCAACTGAAAATTAATTTCTTCATTCTGGCTATAATTATGATCCGATCTGATTCAGATTCGGCAGTCTGGTAGATATGGGCATTCTCTACGATAATGCGTTTTTAGTTTTATCGTATCTTTAAAATTGTGGCTGCCACAGATTTTCATCCTTTGTGGGGGCGGAAGGGGGTGGGGCGAAATTTTGAAATACACTTGTAGCAGTGTGATATCACATGAGTCTGGAAACCAAATTTGGTTGCCCTAGCTCTTATAGTCTCTGAGATCCAGGCGTCAAACAAGACGGACAGACGGACAGACGGTCAGACGGACAGACGGACAGACGGACAGACAGACATGGCTCTATCGACTCGGCTATTGATGCTGATCAAGAATATATATACTTTATGGGGTCGGAAACGTTTCCTTCTCTGCGTTACACACATCCACTTTTACCACAAATCTAATATACCCCTTAACTCTTTTTTGAGTACGGGTATAAAAAAAAACTCTTTAAAATGATAACGTAATCATTGTCCAAGACCCCCCCATCCCCATATAATCAAACATAAACATTTTCCAACAAGCTCGAGGCCTTTTTCCTGACAGCCTTCCATAAGTGGGTTAGATTTGTTTCCCTTCCAAATCAACCGACACAATATATTTTCATTCTGCTTAAAGATTTGTTGAGTGTATATCCACTTACCCTGAAGTTGCTCCTCTTTAGTCTTATCTGGTCTTGGAATGGTTCCACTTTGGCCACGTTGAAACGTCTGTCTATTAAGTACAAGTAATAAACTTCAGAAATTCTACAAATTAGAATGATTAAATTTCATGTTGTCGATGTAATTTGTGTCCAGCAGACGTGCCCAAGACTTTGGTAATCAAATTTTTCCATGTGCCCAATCCCAAATGGATGGTAAGTGATTTGGTAAAGCTGCGGCTCAAGTAGGTCAACACCTCTGATCTGCTGGCTAAATGCAAATAAATGCAGCTGTCAACAGCGGGGTTTTGGTTTAATCTATCAATTGAACGACATTTGCCGTGCTGCTCTTATCTTGATAGTGTAATCGGCTGTAGTGCGGGTATGACAGGCCAATGCGAACGATTCACCTTTAAATATGTCAAGCTGATGAGCCATGCATTTGGATGCGACACAAATTGGTTATATGATGTCCATTGATAATTATTGTCAATTATTTGAATGCTCATTATTGAAATATCACTCATACGCCAGTCGGCCAGGCTAATAAACACCCTGAAGCCGGGTGAACTTTTAGAGCCGCAACCACAGCGTAGCTGCAGCATCAGCGTAAAGGATGTATGCGTGCATGCGTGTGGTAACTGTATCTGTAGCCGAGTGGCAGGGCCTTGTCTATGGGGTTGCGGACAGGACAACCGCGCAATCTCGATGACGCTGCCACCTACTTCCAATTACCGTTAATGCTGAGCGAGCATCAGCGACCCACCAGCAGCCAGCAACCCACCGACCAGGCCATGATTGATTGCAACAAAACCAGATTTTGGTTACTGTCATTTAAGCGCCGGCTAACTTTCGACATGGCCATCGATGTGAAACAGGCCCAGAACAGAGCCGCACCAGATCGAATCGAACCGAGCGTTGTGTGCTTAATGCATGGGATAATTTTAATTGCGCCTCTGCTGCATTTTTAATTAAACGCAAAATTAAAAATTGATTGCTTTTTGACGCCATAACTCGGGGTCGATATGCCCACCTCCTCACCTCACCTCACCAAAGGCAGGTCGCTCAATATCTGTGGCATACTTTCTGCGGAGAGAGCCTCAGCGTTTAAATATTATAAAATTTAAATCAAGAAAAAAAAAGGAGAGTACAAGTACTGGTATACAAAAATTTGCATTTGCGTGGCACATGCAATGTGGCGGAAAAAGTTTGGCTATTTCTGGCCCTCGTTGTGTACATTTTGGAGCACTGCTAGCCGGAAGTGAAAGGTTTTAAGCGGAAGTGCGCAATGTTGCAACGACATATTGTAAGCATGTACGTGTATAGGTGAGACTGCTTGTGTGTGCGTATGTGTGTAATTACATGTCAGGACTTGCTAAATGTTGTAGAGTCATGCAAAGCAGCTCTTAACTCCAAGCAGTTTGTTTAGTGAGTGTGGAAAAGTGTGCCGCTGCAAATTTGAAATTATTCTGAAATGGTAAACTTTTTGGCCATTTCATGGAATAAAACAGACTTTCTCTACACATACAGTTCATTATTAATGTCTGTGCCAAGATTAATCCCATTCGAATGGAAGCGTGGATATAAAGCGTGTAAAAATACAGATTTTTTGTAACTTTATGCGCTTTACAAGAGCGCCAGTGTTGTCGCCGTCGCCCCCCATTTGCGACCAAATGAAACATTCAATTATTTACATTTGAAGGCATCAACATCTACCCAACAATTAAGCATTTTGGTATTTAATTAATGCAATTTTAATGTGGAAAATTAATGAAATTTCATTCAACAGCCATTTAGTGGCTGGGAAACGAATCCAGGGGACATTGTCAATATGCCAGTTGAATGCACTTGATTAATTTGTAAGAATTCTTTGGCTTTACAACCTCCTCATCAATATTAATGGTTTTTTAATACATATTATTAAAATATTCAAATAAATATTTACAATTTGTGCAGTCACTCAATCAGCCTCGAAAGAGGGAATTAATTAATTAATTAATTATAGAAGTCAAATAAAAATTGATTACATATTTATGCGTACTCATAACTAGTTTTTCTATATTATTCTCCATATTTTCTATATTGTTTGTTTATTCTCATTCATTCTCATTATACAATTTATGTTTTCGAGGGTTGGGCGCTGCACACTCCATGTAATTGCACAAATAAGGATTATGCGGGTCTAAAGAAACTTATCAAGTACATCCTCAGTGCGGTTAGACTTAAAACGTTATCTCCCTTTAATTTGTCTACTAGTCGGAGCCTTTTAGGAGCCGCAAGAGTCCTCTAAGAGTCCCATAGGTTCGATTATAAATCGGCGGACTCTGCAGTCACTTTATAAAACATTTTAATCAAATCAAAATCCAAAAGGATTAATATTTGATTCCGTGCAGTTCGTTCCAGTAATGGTGCTTTTAGGTTATGCAATTTTCTATGTTTTGTCTGTATCATCCGTGTAATGGATTTGTCTGGGAGCATTCAGCACTTCCCGTAGATCATCTGGAGAGGAGCTGGGGAGAAGGGTGTTCTGTCCTACCATGCAAAGGAGGAAGCACTTAAATTGGGCGTAACAAAATGTCTGACACGCCAATTATTTTGCTTTTTATACGGGTATGGGTGCGACAGACAGACAGACATGTTGGTTGTTGCTTCGGGTACTGCTGATGCTGTTAAAGCTCTAGATACTGCTTTTACTGTTCTGCGTGTTAGTTTTTATATGTGAGTGGGTTGCTGTTGGGTTGGGGTTGGGGTTGCTGCTAGTGCTGGGATTGGTCCTCATCTTGGTGTTGTGTTTGGTGTGAGGGCTGCCAGAGAAATTTTCTGCTCCTTGCTTTTTAAGTGGTTTTATTGTTCACTTGTTTGTACTTCTTGCTACAACTACGTTATTTTATTTTCATTTGTGTTCCTCTTTATGTATTGGCTTTAAACTGCAGCAATATGTAGCGCTGCTGCAGTTGCTCTAAGTCAGCCATGGCTTGGTGTGGCGATGAGTTGCGCTTTGTAAAGCCGGAAAGGTCAACATGCTGAGATAGTGTTTGTGGCTTCAAAGGCGTGTTTGCTTGTTATGTAAACTTTTTACTTTAGCTTTTGCACAAGCGATGTACAATTGTAGGCTAGGAAGGGGCGAGAGAGACACGAAGCAGTCGTAGTTTTGTCGCGTTATCTGTACGGGCTCTGAGAGAGCCGAGAGCGAAGAAGCGAGATCAGTCTGAGTCAGTGACATTACACATATAAATATTAAGTTCCATACATAATAATAAATTGCAATTAAGCAAACAAAACTACTATAGAATTATGGGGAAAAGCGGAAGTTAAAAATACGAATAATTTCATCGCAACCTTTA